AGAGAAAGGACGGACAATGGTCTTAATTTTGTTTGCACTAACAAATAAATTGTACTGCTTACAAACTCCAGTCACCAGTAAAACATAATAAATATAATTGTCATCATTTTCTTGAAACATTGCATTATTTACATCTTTAGCTGAGTGATTCTTGCCAAAACAAGCAGCACTGCAGTAGTAGAGAAATTCTTTTTGTAACTTCCTTCCGGACTCATCTGGCTGAAATGTCGCCAACACTGTGAAAATTTCAGTGTTCAGGTTTGTTCTGTGGTGGATAGTAAAGAAAAGAAGGAAGTGCAGAGCATTTTTACGAAGCCTTGTCCCTGAAGCACCACACACACAATGCTCCAGCTTAGTGTTGGAGTCCCACTCGTACTTTGCATTCACTAAAAACACTGATATAAAATTGCTCAGTGATCCAAGTGGAAAAGCACCACAGCGTTTACTTTAAAGAGAACAAAAAAAAAAAAATCAACCTGTTCTGCTTCCATCTCTAGCAGCACTGATTTTTCTGTGGTTGTCAGTACTAGTTTGCAAAAAGCACCTCATCAGGGGGTTCTGCAGTGTTGAACATGCCCCTCCTTTGGGATACCAAGAGAGGAGTAACATTAATAAGCTCAAACGTTTCCAATGAAAAGTGAAAATGAGTTAATAAGTTGTGATCAGAAAGGGCCAGTAAAAATTAAACAATGTCTTTTGCCTCTATGGTGTAAGCTGGATCGTGTCCAGTAAGTTGAGCAATTTTAATTTTGGAAAAGTGGACAAAGTTGCAAGGAGCCAGATCTAGTGAACAGGTCAGCTGATGAGCAAACATTTTGTTGATGTAGCCTAAAAATGCATCTTTAATACAGTTTGTGCCAGCACAGTGTCTTTGCTACAGCCTAGTGCAGCCTCCATGTTGTTGTAGGCTTTCCATAAATATGATTGCAAAAGTCTTCATCAGCAGCTTCTGCAGAGGAAAATCTGCAGGAGAAAGTTTATATTTTAACATACTAACAGTCATGCTGCATCATGTTCACCTGCAGAAAAACAGAGAGAAACATCTGGATGTATTATAATCAGTGTTTTGTTAAGCTGCATTAACACTCAACGACATCATCAGCTGTAATATCAAAAACTGGAACTGATATTATAACAATTTGCATCAGCCAAGAATACAGTGAGAACATATTCAGTTCTCTCATCTTTGGTTAATACTGCACATAAAATCTGCAGTTATTGAAGTGAACTTATTTTTTGTTTACTTGTGGAGTGAACTGAAAAAGATTCCAACGATAATAAAAGTACAGTGAGGGTAGCATTAGTTAGTGTCTTGGTAGGTCTAATGACTTTTCTCAGGGCCTCATCTTTAGCTACTGTAGGTCTTAACATCCATCAGGTCACTTTTCCAGCTAGCCAGTGTTGAAGAACCACTTGCCACTTTTGAGGCATGGAGTAAATGCTAACAGTCTTTCCTTGGTTTTTGTAATTGCTATAGCCAGGACACAACAAAACTGAGCCCACGTTTTAGACCATACAGTGTGAAAACTGTAATACATTTATGTTTTAAATTATGGACAGTACAAGCATTTCATGCCCACTTTGAGCTCAAGCCCCTTATCCTGTGAAACCAGGCAGACACTCTTTCTACCTTTATGACTTTCTCTTCCAGAGAACTGTTTTGGAATATTTTGTCATTGGCGGTGATAGTGCTGGGATTAGGTTCACAGCTTAAGTTGTTATTATTGTAGGCTCAAGAGACTGGGTGATTTCCCATAATGCACTGGGCTTGACCACTTCCCCCTTTTGTGCTACTATTGCACACCATTAAATTTGATCTACTCTTGCTTGTAATTTGTGTTATGTCCTGTTTGTTATTGTGTTTACCCTATGCAATCCTCTGGTGTCCTCTTCCTCTTACAAGGCAGTTCTTTCTTACCACCATCACCAAGTGCCTTCATAGGAGATTGTTAATTTAGTCTTGTCTCTGTTTAATATTGTTTTTCTACCACAAAGTGTGTTGAGATAACTATTGTTGCTAACTGTTGTCTGCAAAATGATGCCCACCCCACGGACATGCCAGATTAAAACAGACTCGCCTCCAACCCTAAGCTACAAAAAACAGCAAAAACAAAACAAAACAAAAAACAAAGTTAATCATAAAGGCAGATTATAGTGGCAGGTTGTGGTTTTTGCTCAGGGAGCGGTCTGAGGGTGGGCTGATCGGCACAGGTGTTGTACATTCACTAATCCCACCTCTCTCTTGTTATGCGGTAGCCTGCTGGGACCTTGAGGCTCTCTTGCACACCGACTGAGAGGTTACAGCCAGCTTAATAAAGAAGAGCTCAGTTATGATTTGTGTGCAGTTTGGTGTGCTGAGCAGTTATAGCTGAGCACACAGTCTTTATGGTGTGACTGAGGAAATTAACAC